AAAAAGCTATGGAGGGCTGACCAAATAGCTCAGCGGATTAAAGCACCTGCAAGCAAGTGCAGGGGCTGGGGGTTCAATCCCCCGGGCCTGCCATACCAGCCCCACCCCCAGGGTGGTGATTGAGATTGGGCATGCTGGTGTATGCCTGTAATCTCAGCTCTTGGGATGCTGTAAACAGGTGGATCACTGCAAGTCTGATCTAGTAGTGAAACCCTGAACACCCTATAGACACTTTCCTAAAATCAAAATAATAATAAAAGTAATAATAATAATTATAAAAACACTATGGGGCATATTTAACCCATATGACTTACTTAGATAATTTCAATTACAATCCAAGCACCATGTGTAATTACAAGCTGGACATCACTTCTTCTGGTACCACTAAGCATCTAAAGAGTCAGATTTAAGATATTCTATAGGCATAACAACTTTATGAAACACAATCTAGATCCACACAATGTATCTTCCATGTCTTGAGCCCAGTTTATGGGGATACGGCAGTTAACGGCATATGTCTGCTTGGCATTTACTGCACAATTAATCTAGATGTCCCATCAATCATCCTGACAGCTACTCCTTCCCAGGCTCGCTGCCACGACTTCTCAATACTAATCTATTTTTAGTCTAAATTATTCCAATTTACAATATTTTAGACAGAAAAAAAATGAGTACTCTTTCAACAAGAAGTTTCACCATCTCTAGCAATAGGGAATATATTTTTATATGCTAATAATTACATCTTTATCCTAAAATATCCTAAATTGATCTATATAGGAGAAGACTGCAGTTTAAAAAACAGAATACTAAGAAGGTATGTGGAGTGCTTCTGTAATTCTGAACCACCACTTGGCCCTCTTGGGGAATGGGCTTCCTGCAGCAATGATTTTACTTCCTAAGTCATCAAAGTAGGCTGGACATAAAACTGAGGACATTCTACTGTCTCTAGAATGTGGAATTGCAATACACACAATCATTGTATGTGGCTGAGATGTAAGCAGAAATCTTGTAGCCTTGGCACAAGGCC